AAATTAGATGAATCAATATCCCTTCCTATTGCAAAGTGGGAAGCAGATTTATCAGTCAGCTTAGACCAAAACTTCTGGTCTCAGATATGCTTAAAAACCTTTAAATTGATTAAAAATCCCAGTTTGCAATTAATACAATACAAAACACTACATAGAGTGCACTATACAGGTCATCGGATGTTCAAGATGGGCTTTACATCTTCCAACAACTGCTCACACTGTCAAGGCAATACACCAGACAATTATATCCACGCTCTTTGGTTCTGTCCACCAGTGCAGAAGTTTTGGCGCGAGATATGTGAAGACTTATCAAAGTGTCTGAAATGTAAAATTCCAACCTCCCCTTTAGTATGCTTGTTGGGAAAATTGGATGAGGTCACTACAGAAACTACTACAGTCCATGGTTTTCACTGCCCTATGCATCGCCAAGAAAACGGTCCTCATGAACTGGAAAAATAAAAATAATCTTAATTCTAGCCAATATAGAAACTTCTAATGGATCACATTAGTCTCGATATAGCCTCTGCCACCACATTAGATCAATCCCTCTGGGCTCCATTGATCGGCTCCATCACTTAGCGGGGGTAGGGGGTCGTGGTTTGGTCCTGCCTCAGCTACTGTGGTTAATATGGAGTTGGGACAGGCTTAGGGCGCCTGGAGGACCCCTAGAGACATTATCCCTGGAGGGCTTAACCCGGGGGTTGTGTTCATAACCTGGTTAGTGGCTCTGGTCGCTCTTAGAGGTTGTTCTCCTCGTGGCTGCGTGCAGCGGGGCTGGAGGATGGTCTGTGCTGGCAAACGTAGGTTACTGGCCTGGTGGCCTGGCTGCCCCTGAGTGGATCCGGGGCAGGCGTGGGGTTTGGGGTTCGGGGGTGCTTCGCCTCCGTGCTGGGGCTCTGGCTGGGCCTTGGGGCTTCGGTCCTCGTCGGTGTGTCACCGAGGTTGTGAGCGGGTGGGTGCACGGGGACTCAGCCCTGGCGCAGGGGGCCTCTTGTGCATCGGCCTAACTGGGGGGCTCTTCAACTGGCGGGGAGGTTGTTCCATCCTTGCAGGAGTCCACTCTGCAGGTGGGGGAGAGACATAAGAGAGGTGGAGAATAAACTTAACCTGGGTGTCTGTAGTCTTGTGTAGTCTGGGAGACGATTGAATGTTGGGGTGGGTACAGTTTCCTCTGCGGTGGGGTAGGGTGGGCTGCCCCGGGTCCTGTGGGGCTTGGCAGTGCTACCGTAGGCCCCGGTCTGGATGGACCTGGGCTCCCTTGCCTTGGTGGGTACCAGAGGACGAGGGTACCTACTGGGGTCAGCGGGGAAGCTGGCCCTAGGGAGGGACATCCTCCCCTCCCTCCTTTTCCTCCCCATCCCCGGCTACCTCCCTCTTCCCGCTCCACCACACTCACCCACACAAGTAGGTCCTTGGGGTGCGGGTGTGTCACAAGGGTGCAGGGGAGCCACCTGCTGCTCTCTGGCAGCAGCACCATGCTCTCCCTTGTTTTAAATGCACTTTAGAACAACACGCAGCAACACTACACATGAGCGGGAGGAGGGAGGTATGGGGTCTTCACACACCCCCGTTCTCTGCTAGCCATCGGGGCGGGGGGGCTGGGAGGAGATGTTAGCTGTCCGATTGGCCTCCCTGCTGCTGCGGAGCCTGGGACGGTCTGCTTGCCTCCACCCCGGGGGGAAGGGTAACATCTCTTGGGTCTGGGTTCTGTTTCCCCCTCTGGGGGCGAGGGTACCTGGACCCGGGGTATAGAGTATGTTTGGGGAGTGTGATTGTGTGTACATGTCCATTTATGTCAATCCTTACGTTGGGTGAGTGCTGAGTGTTTGTATATGTGTGCATGAGGGTGGGAATGCATGTTTGTGTCTGTGTGTCTGTGTCTATTTGTCAGGTCGGGTCTTAGACTCCACCTCTCTGGGAACTCCCAGGCCCTCCAAGGCCTATCTCCCCTCACCACACTCCCTGCCGGTGACTGATGCCCTCATGGGTCGGTGCATTGGTGGTTCTTGGTGTCCGAGGCTGGGTACTGGGTATGTACCGGCTCACTCCCGGTGGCTACTTGGTAGGGCCTGGCGCCTGTTGCTCGGTCAGGCCTCCTCCTCCTCTGGGCCTGCGGCTCGGTGCACTCTGGCTCAGCTGGCTGCCGGCAGAGCCGGCGGGCACGCCGGTGCAGCCCCCTCTAGCTTCTGCTCGGTTAGATTAATGCGATGCTGTTGTGTTTAGTATGCTGGTTGGGGTTTTTTTTTGCTTGTTTTCTATTCTTCTTCTCTCAACAGGTGATCCAGGAGATTTTTTTCTCCCCCCTTTTCTCACTGTCCCTCTCCCCTTCTGTTTTTCTTTTCCTTCCTCTTTCTTTCTCCCTTTCCTGTCCCTCACTCATGTCTGTCCCGTCTGTAACATCTGAAAATAAAATATAATAAATAATAAAAACAAAGGTCAGTCAAATGGACCAATACGGCAATGCCACGATGATCCATTTGGCAAAGTAAATCCATTGGGTATCCTTGTTGGTCTTCAGACAACAATTCTGATGGCTAAAGAACCAAATAGGACAGGCAAAAGAAAAGAAAAAAAAGAATGACAAATTTTTCGGGTTTTTGTAAAGACAAACTGCAAAGCTGAGTCTTACACATCCATGACCAGGGTGCATTTGTGTGAAAGACCCAGAGGAGCTCAGATATGTTTTTCCCCACAAAAAAATACTTCAGGAACCAGTGATGCTATATACTCTGAGCATGTACTATGGTCAATGTAACCTCTATGAACCTTCATGAACTTTAACTAATTAAATTCAGAGATTAAAAAAGTAACCACATTGTTTATAATAATATTGTAATGTTCTTAAAATAAGTGTAAATCAACATCTGCAACATTTCCAGTCTAATATTTTCCTCCTCAGACTCATTCTAACACAACAATACGCTTTAAGACACCACTTAGCAATACTTGGCCAGCTACGCCACTTAAAATCAATATTTAATATGAAATCATTTCCAAATACTAAATCTTTAAGTGATGCCACTTTAAAGAAAAAAGTTATTCATATTTCACTATAGTAGATTCCAAATAACACACTGTGGTTGATGATGGAGGTTTTCTGCTTTCTACCAGAGCTCCATCTACAGTGTGCTGCTTGACCTTTATGCATATCTGCAAATCTCAGGAAAGGAGGCAACTCTGTTACATTCACTGAGATCAGCAGACGTTTAGAGTTTGAGAGTCAGGCTGCTGTGTTAACATTAATAAAAATAAATGAACCTACTAAAAAAGCCTTTTCCTGCTCCTTCTCTATCTCCTCTGTTAAAACCCTCTTTGCTTCCACTGGTCCATTCAACTCGATTGTTTTTACATCCTGCTACTACCAGTCCAACTATTTATATTGGGGCGATCGTGGCTCAAGAGTTGGGAGTTCGCCTTGTAATTGGAAGGTTGCCGGTTCGAGCCTCGGCTTGGATAGTCTCTGTCGTTGTGTCCTTGGGCAAGACACTTCACCCGTTGCCTACTGGTGGTGGTCAGAGGGCCCGGTGGCGTCTGTGTCCGGCAGCCTCGCCTCTGTCAGTGCGCCTCGGCAACCTTCCAATTACAAGACGAACTCCCAACTCTTGAGCCACGATCACTTCTGAAGGCTGATTCATGTGTTGAAATTGGTTTAGGAGCAGTTCTGAGCTCAGGAGCTGCTTCATGTTTGAATCTCAGATCCTCATTTTATGCAGCAGCGCCACCTACTGCTCAAAGCAATGAACTACCAGATGAGGTTGAATATTGTCTCCTTGGTCTACACACCTCCATGTTCACTGAGCTGTGTGCTTTATCACTACTCTTTCACCCTCTTTTACACATGAACACAGTGACAGACCTGAGTCTGAAACCAAGTACCAATGAAAAGGAACTCTTGATTAAAATAACTTAGAATATATATTTTTTTTTTAAAAACAAGAACTTCACATTGTGATAATAACTCACACCAGGACTTAAGCCTGATATGTAGATTCCTGTGCTTTCGCAGCAAAAACCATGATGCTGCTTTACTTTGAATATCCCAGCTGCTTCTCTGCTCCAATGACCAAATGTATTTAATGTGCACAAATCAAAGTGAGAACTGCACTTCAAGACTGTACATGATGGAATTCATGTTATTAGTGATGAATAGGACTCACCCTGCAGCAAAGGTGCAGAAGCTACAGGGGGCTGCAGTGATGTGTCTGCAGGCTGTGCTGGCAGCCAGCTGCGGCAGAGTGCCGGGCCCAGCCACGCGAGGTATGAGGGCCCCCTGCTTTCTGGTAGGGGCCCGACCGAGCCACGGGCGCCAGGCCCCGCCAAACAGCCACCGGGAGTGACCCAGTACATACCTAAGTGCCCAGCCCTGGACACCGAGAACCACCAACGCACCGATGCCCGAGGGCATCAACCACTGGTATGGAGTGTGGAGAGATCGGCCCCCACACCTGGGGGTAGCCTGACATAGACTTAGAGAAACAGGCTCACACAGACACAAACATGCATTCCTGCCCTCATGCACACATTTACAAATACTCAGCAGTGTGTGAAGCACTTTGCTATGAATAATTTCTGCATGAAACATGAAATCCAGACTAAATGCAGATGCAGAGCAGAAAGTAGACACAATGATGGACTTGTGAAGGTTTTTTCCCGGCAGCTTATTAATGAATGACCGATTGTTAATAATGTCTCTGTTTTTTTCTTTAAAGTAGACCAAATGTCCACCTGTTGAAATGTCACTGAATACCTTTTATTCACACAGCCTCCACTGGTGAAGTAAATTTCCTGATATGCTAAGTATCAAGTATTTGCATGTACTTGGATGCACACAGGATGTAGGTTGAACATGGTGATCATAACAGTCGTGGTATGTTCTCATCTGCAAATCAGATGTAAAAGTCTGGGAATGCTTTGCCTACTGAACATAACAGCGTCACTCTGAGTGTAAACAAGAGAAATGAATATTTTCATGTTTTCTGCTGTGAGGGAAGTGACAGAAATACAAATCCAGCTCTGACTCAGAGAGGGGATCATATCAACATCAGTGTGTCTACAGAAAACTCCAGAGTGAGGGTAGAAGTCTTTTCTTTCTCTTATTAGAGGACACATTTGTGCAAAGAGTCTAAAGTAAAGATGCTGTGGAGTCTGTTGTTCATCACTTTGATTGGTAAGTGGATCATTTGATGTTCCTGCCTGGCACAGTGATGTTTCAATGATCGTTATAAAGAATGAAAAAGATCAAATATAACAGTTCAGTTTTACTGTGAGTTGATCCAAACTGCTCGATAAAGCAAAAGTCGTTTCATTTAGTTTAAAGAGGATTTGACTTTAGTAAAGCCAGTTTCATTTCTGAGTGTTGAAGGATGGTTTACATTCTGTGCTTTCTGCTGTATTACCAAACAACAATATCAGAGCTGGCAGTAATTCACTCATTCTTACATCGTTCTCTGAAACTTCACAGGAAGATCAACTCAACAGGATCCAGGTAAGAGTGCATTTCTAATCAGTTTCTTCAGGTTATATCAAAAGTATGATGGTGCTTCTGTTCTGAATATACTTATTTGTAAAGTATTTAATTTTATGCCTTTTAAATTATTTTTATATTTTATTTTTCAATTCATTTATTTATTTATTGCATTACAGTAGACGTCATATCTGTGGGAATGTTTCATGTGGGGATTTTCTGTTGGACTGAAGCAATTTTACAAACATCTGTATAAATATATGTTATAAATGTAAATTTATATTGAATTATGTTCTATGATATGTGATCAACGTGATTTAGAAATAAGTGCTTTGATAAATGTGCAGTCTTTGATATGTTTTGAGAATCAAATTATTCATTTCATAAATTCTGATGAATTTTTATTCACTAACTGCAAAACTATTCAACATTTATAATGTAGTGAGGCTGCTTGGAAATAACCTGTGTGTGTGTGTGTGTGTGTGTGTGTGTGTGTGTGTGTGTGTGTGTGTGTGTGTGTGTGTGTGTGTGTGTGTGAGAGAGAGAGAGAGAGAAATGTTTGCCACAAAAGATTTAGTCAGATCATGAAGTCATAATTCAGATTCATTATTTAGGAGTGAAAAGGAGATTTTTCCTAAAAAAAAACACTAGAAGTCCTGGTCTGAAGTATTATTGCCGCTGACATTGTTTCTTTCCTTTTTTTATTTTTTTTTTACTTTACTTTCAGTTACATCATCAGGATGTAGTCCAGGATGGGAAACTATCAAACTGGATGACAAAGTGGCATTTCAGTCTTCAGTCTACACACACAATGGTGTCAACTACACTGCTGACAGAGCTTTGGATGGAAATTATTTGACATTTTCTGCCACTGAATATGAAACCATCAGCTGGTGGACAGTTGACTTATTTGGTCTATATGAAATTTCCTGCATCAGCATTAACAAAATGGATCCTTTCAAAGTTGATCTAAGTAGCGCTCACATCCTCATCGGGAACTCATCTGAGAGAAATGCTGCTGACACCACTGAGTAATACCTTCATCTTACTTTGAATCATTCTGTTCTCAGTCAGGCTCCAGCATGTCCAATGTTTTTAGATAATTTTATGAACATTTAAGTGCATTTAAACCCAGTAATACAGTAACAGAGATAAACCTGTATCAGTTCTATCAGATGAAATAGGAGGTCTAATATGGTGTGATGTGGTTTGGAGTAATAATCAAGTATATGTGAAGAATATAAAAATCTTTATTTATTCTCATTTTCCTTTGTTGTTTATTTGTAGGTGTTTTCCTTCTTTCTAAAATGTTCTCAGACAGCAGCTCACATTTATTATCCAGCTGTTCGACTGTCTCCACTGTTTACAGCATGATTTAATCAAACAGAGCCAGAAACTCTTTCTGTACATCTGTCCAACCTTTTGTCTTTGTTTACAGGTGTGCAACAATCAACACAACTAGTGGAGAAAATAAAACATTTAACTGTGAAAATGGACCAAAGTGGGGGCGTTATGTAACTGTGTACCAAAACACATCGGGAGGAATTTTAATTCTGTGTGAGGTGACGATGAAAGGCAGAAAAAAAGGTACAATAAAACATTCTTACCCACTAAGTTAACTGGTCAGTCAGTAGAGTCGATATAAATGTGTAAATGTTGACAGTAAGAATTATGTGCTTGAATCAACGCAGCATGTTAGACACTCAGAAACACTGTTTGGTTTGATGCTTCTAAGTTTCATGTTTTTGATGTTTTTCCTTTTAGAGCCCTTTAAACTGATTAAAGAGAACAAGACATGGGCAGACGCCCGGTACCACTGCAGACAGGAACACATGGATCTGGTTTCCATCCTTGATAACGAGACCCAGGTCTGGGTTGGGTTGGAGGCTCAGAAGGCTGACACTCCCTTTGTCTGGCTGGGTCTTCAATACATCTGTGGCTTCGACTTCTGGATCTGGGTCAACGATCAGTGTGTATTTTTTGATCAGTGGGCTCCAGATGACACAAGAACAGCAGTCTGTGGCATGAACACTGCCATGAATACAAGTGGGAACCATTTGTGGTACAAGAAGTCTGTTTATGATAAATATAATTTCATCTGTGCAGTGTAAGAAGATCCATGGGTTGGTTTTGTTTATTCAGTTAGACAGGTGTCAGTAGTGGCTTGTTGGGTTCTAGCAAACTTTCCTCTAATAAATCAAAGGTGATGGGTTCAGGCTCAGTGTAGCAGGAAGATAAACAGTGGAGAAATTAAGCAGAACTTCTCTATTAACACTCAGAAACATGTTATTATTATAAATTACTTTTGATTGTATTTCATGATACACTGATATGATGATTATATGACACTTAAAAAATTAAGCATTCAGTGTTTTCTATAATTTTGAATTGACATATATATATATTATTTCCTTTAGTTGTAAATGGATCGTTGGCCTTTGAATTGTTTTACTCGCGTCTCTCATGTTTAAACCTGCTGAACAAATAAAACATAAACTAGGAAAACAAATGTTTGTCAATTCAGTTTATTTTTGTTGGGATGTTTGTCAAGTTTACAGACATTCAGTGACTGTGTTTGTGTTTCAGATTGTCTCCTTTAAATTCACTAAATAACTTCATATATGATTTTTACACTGTAAAATGCTTGTTTCAGTTAAAATGGTCATTTGCACAAAAGTGTCTTTTTAATGTTTTCAAATGGAGACAGTTCAGTAACGACCACCACCTGATGACCCTTTTATTCAATCCATGAATTTGAACCAGTGATAATTATTCTGAATGAATCTGTATGAGCAGTGAAATTACGGCATTTACAGTGTTTTAATAATATAGCCTTCATTAAAGCCAAAGACACTGAGAAAAGGTTCCACACCCATGACTGTACTTTGAACTGATGTTACGTTGACATAATCAAAAAAGGCCTTAAGTTCCTGATATCTTTTAAAAGACAAAATGTGTTTTTGTGCAGGATTTTCCAACAGGTAACATCTGAGAATAAAAATAACTACATTAATATCACATTGACTGAAGTGCTCTCCATTTTAAGTGTTGATGCTTGATCGTCGCGGTAAAGAAAGTTTCTGGAATCTCCATTTTAAGGTCGCTAGCCTTGATCTAGCATTCCTGTGCCTCACTCAGAGTCACACACATCCGTTATTACAAATGTTTACCAGGATCCTGTAAAGTATCTTTGCTCTTCGTAGAGCTGCACTCTTCTGGACACAGATCTCAAATGTCATTCCTGGGATCTTCTGGAGCCACCTGCCCAGTTTAGGGGTCACTGCCCCGAGTGCTCTGATTACTACATGGACCACTGTTGCCTTCACCATTCACATCTTCTTAACCTCCTCTCTCAGCCCTTGTTGTTTTTCCAGCTTCTGGTATTCGTTATTCCTGATGCTGCTATTACTCGGTATAGTGGCTTGTCCATCACTAGTATGTCTGATGGTTTGCTATCACCAGTTTGACCGTCTGTATCTGGAAGTCCCACAGGATCTTAGTCCGGTCATTCTCGACCACCCTTGGCGGTGTCTCCCATATTGACTTTGGGACTTCCAGGCCCGGCCTCTGAACTATGCCAGCCATTTGGTTATGATGTTCCATGTATGCCCTGCACGTTAGCATCTTGCACCTTCCTGCTATGTGGTTCATAAAAGTCATTCCTTATTTTACTGCCCTCTGCCATGGCAAAGTGCAAGTCCAGCATTAAACTTCTGTGGTTCAGATTTATTAGTAGATGGAAAACTTTCTTCCATGTAAATAAATCTGTGTAGATGAATGGAATAGAAGACAGCTCTTATGCAATGGCCACCATGAAAGTCAGAGCATCTCATTCTAAAAGAAAAGAAGAAAATTATTCAAACAGTATCAAGGTGGGAAGAAATTTCACAAACTGACTTGTTGCAGTGGCGGTATCCTTTTACAGTAGCATGCTCGAATTCAGTGAGTTCTTTAGAATGACAAATTTTTCGGGTTTTTGTAAAGACAAACTGCAAAGCTGAGTCTTACACTCGCTGTTGGAGCTCAGCCTGGGGGGAGTTCTTTTTTCTCCGCATCTTTCCTCATGTTGTGCATTTTCCATTGTTATATCTCTCTGACCTGACTTCCCCATGTGATGCTGTGTAATGTATGTATGGTCGGGAGGGTAAGATGGCGCTGGCAAAGGTCGGCAGCCTTAACCCAATTTCCCTCAGGATGAATAAAGTATTATCAATCAAGCAATCAATTTACACATTTATATCGACTCTACTGACTGACCAGTTAACTTAGTGGGTAAGAATGTTTTATTGTACCTTTTTTTATGCCTTTCATCGTCACCTCACACAGAATTAAAGGCCCATATGTGTTTTTGTACACAGTTACATAACGCCCCCACTTTGGTCCATTTTCACAGTTAAATGTTTTATTTCCTCCACTAGTAGTTGTGTTGATTGTTGCACACCTGTAAACAAAGACAAAAGGTTGGACAGATGTACAGAAAGAGTTTCTGGCTCTGTTTGATTAAATCATGCTGTAAACAGTGGAGACAGTCGAACAGCTGGATAATAAATGTGAGCTGCTGTCTGAGAACATTTTAGAAAGAAGGAAAACACCTACAAATAAACAACAAAGGAAAATGAGAATAAATAAAGATTTTTATATTCTTCACACATACTTGATTATTACTCCAAACCACATCACACCATATTAGACCTCCTATTTCATAGGTGTCAAACTCTGGCCCGCGGGCCAGATTTGGCCCGCAGCCTAATTACATTTGGCCCGCGAAGCTATACCAAATTATTATTAGAGCTGGCCTACTGGTATTAAACAGCTAATATATATATTGTTTAGTATTAAGCTTTGCTTGTTCCATATTCAGTTTTCCAGCAAAACTTATTTGAGTCCATAAGAAAAGATTCATTCCTATATCTGGAGGAAGATTTTTTTAAAAATAAATATTAACGTTAGCCCGCGACTTTGTTCCAGTTTTGAATTTTGGCCCACTGTGTATTTGAGTTTGACACCCCTGTCCTATTTCATCTGATAGAACTGATACAGGGTTCTCTGTGTTACTGTATTACTGGATTTAAATGCACTTAAATGTTCATAAAATTATCTAAAAACATTGGACATGCTGGAGCCTGACTGAGAACAGAATGATTCAAAGTAAGATGAAGGTATTACTCAGTGGTGTCAGCAGCATTTCTCTCAGATGAGTTCCTGATGAGGATGTGAGCGTCTCTTAGATCAACATTGTGTTGATTTATGTTGTAAATGGTGATGCAGGAAATTTCATATAGACCAAATAAGTCAACTGTCCACCAGCTGATGGGCTGTTTTTCTACAGTGTTAGAACATGTTTCTTTATTTCCGTCCAAAGCTCTGTCAGCAGTGTAATAAACACCATTCTTATCTGTGTAGACTGAAGACTGAAATGCCACTTTGTCATCCAGTTTGATAGTTTCCCATCCTGGACTGCATCCTGATGATGTAACAGAAAGTAAAGTTTTCAAAAAAGATGATGTACGTGGTACTAACACTTCAGATTAAGGCTTTTGCTGTTTCTTTATCAAAATCTTCTTTTCACTCCTAAATAATGAATCTGAATTCTGACTTTATAATCAGATTAAGTCTTTTGTAGCTACCATATTTAGCACACACACACAATTAATATTGTGATGCACAAATAAATAAAGGGAGAAAAATATATAAAAATAATTTAAAAGGCATAAAATTAAATACTTTACAAATAAGTATATTCAGAACAGAAGCACCATCATACTTTTGATATAACCTGAAGAAACTGATTAGAAATGCACTCTTACCAGGATCCTGTTGAGTTGATCTTCCTGTGAAGTTTCAGAGAACGATGTAAGAATGAGTGAATTACTGCCAGCTCTGATATTGTTGTTTGGTAATACAGCAGAAAGCACAGAATGTAAACCATCCTTCAACACTCAGAAATGAAACTGGCTTTACTAAAGTCAAATCCTCTTTAAACTAAATGAAACGACTTTTGCTTTATCGAGCAGTTTGGATCAACTCACAGTAAAACTGAACTGTTATATTTGATCTTTTTCATTCTTTATAACGATCATTGAAACATCACTGTGCCAGGCAGGAACATCAAATGATCCACTTACCAATCAAAGTGATGAACAACAGACTCCACAGCATCTTTACTTTAGACTCTTTGCACAAATGTGTCCTCTAATAAGAGAAAGAAAAGACTTCTACCCTCACTCTGGAGTTTTCTGTAGACACACTGATGTTGATATGATCCCCTCTCTGAGTCAGAGCTGGATTTGTATTTCTGTCACTTCCCTCACAGCAGAAAACATGAAAATATTCATTTCTCCTGTTTACACTCAGAGTGAGGCTGTTATGTTCAGTAGGCAAAGCATTCCCAGACTTTTACATCTGATTTGCAGATGTGAACATACCACGACTGTTATGATCACCATGTTCAAACTACATTGTGCGTCCATCCACGTGCAAATACTTTAGCATACCAGGAAACTTACTTCACCAGTGGAAGTTGTGTGAATAGGTTTTCAGTGACATTTCCACAGCTGGATCATTATGTAGGGAAACAAGATGTTTTCATTTTTAACAGGACACTATGCCAGACTTTCTGCACAACATCTGAATTTAAATGTCCTGAAACTTCATGTTTCATTATTTAAAGCAAAATGCTTCTCACATGTTCACATCCTTTGATCCAAATTTATTGGGTTTTGTCCTCAAACAAGTATAAAATATAAATCTTTTCTAAATCAACCTATCAAGCCAGAGCCTCAATAACAGCTGGGATTTTAAATTAACATTGCACACATTTCATGTCTCACAGCTGCTAGCTACAAGCTGAGGAGTGCAGGGACCACAGAGTATTTTCAGCCTTCTACAGCAACACTGGAGAAACAATCACACACACCAGGATTAATCAAAGGTCATCACAGAAACTTTAAGTTAGTGGAAATGTTGGTTCCACAGACGCAGAGTAACAAGGATTTCAACTTTGTAAAAGCCTCAGTAGGTCAGTTTCATTCAGAGAATCTTCTCCAGTCAAAGCCTATCAGGAGATTATTTACAGCTATAGGAGTCGGTACCGCAGTTAAATTTAGGAGCGATATATTGAAATGGCTTCAAACCACTGGTTAAAGTGGAGCGTACATGTGTTCGTCCTGCATTATCTGTGTCTGTGGAGAAACAACTGTAACTAATTACATCCAGACACTGTCATGAATCAGCAAAAACAGATCTGAAGGTACACAGAGTACTGATGCAGAAAAGAAAACATTTGGGATCCAAAGCAAACCGCACCGACATGAAGGAAAAATCTGATCAGAATACAGAAGGTAAAAACTTTACAGTGAGATTAGAAAAAAATCAATTCATGTCCACAGTTATTTTCAAATCTGACAACGTGTATTTTCTAAAACCAAAAAGCTGGCAGCTGTAGAGTGAAAACATCTGGATTGCTGTAAGAAACATTCAGCTAACTACCTTTAAATACAGAAAACAAGTGAGGACTATAGCAGAAGTACAGCAGGTACAGATATGACATATGAGCGTAATAGGACCGCAGGTAAACTACTCAGATCACAACGTTAGCTTTTAGCTCTACAGCACAAGGTTAACTGGGATACGTGATGAATGCTGGATATAAAATCATAACTCAGTGAAAAGACACGGCAGCCTCGATATAAGCTACACATCTGTGTATTTATAGCTTCAAGAACTGTAAGACCAGATTAGACTTTACCAGAAAACATCTTTGAACAGCTGCTAATGGGACCACATCACTAATATTTATTGATGATGTGACTGCTGACAGAATTAGTAGAATGAATTTTAAAGTCTACAGGGTTGTACTCTCCTCTCAGACACACTCAAATGCTGTAAAACTGTACAACCATTAATACAATCCTTTCTTTAAATGCCTTAACTTAAAGCTGAAAGTCTGCACTTACATCACATCTAGATTGCTTGATTTAAAATCAACTTGAACTGTGGTGCTGTACATAGGCACTAACACAAAAGAAAAACGTGCCAGTGTCCAGATATTTATGGTTCTGACTGCATGTTTATAAAGTAATTTAGGATTAACATTTGAGCCCGAGCGATCAATACTGGTCAATGTTAATGATTTGCTGACCTACTGGTATCAGCATTTATATTTAGTCAATAAAAACTAAAATGCAAAGAAAAGGCAGGAGAACCAATCATGTTATGAGTCCTAACGTTGCACAGTTTGTCCACCAGAGGGCACTCTCAACTTCCCATGTTTATAATCTGCACTGTCATTTTATCATAATAAGGACTTAGTAATAACTATGTATGTTCAGAGAATGTTTAGGTGCGATTTTCTATGTCTAAAAGAAAACAATACTGGCTCATAACTTTTGCACTGTCCACTTCCTGCTGTGACAAAACAAATTTCCCACGTGTGAGACTAATAAAGGTTATCTTATCTTATCATTAGTTGTGTTCTAATTAGCACCTCAAATATGAACACACTATTAGCAAGCACAATTCATTCAAACATTAATCCAGCTGACTGCATGTCTTTTCTCTTGAGTTATGATTCTACATTTTTGCAAAGTACCAAAAAGCCACTTGTGCACAGTGAACTCTAAAACTGATTCTAATTAAAAACACTAATCTATTGTACATATTGAGCCTGTCTTGCTAACAGGAAGTCCACTGTTGACTGGATAGAGTTGCAATGACAGTTTTCATAGATAGAAACATATAAAAACCATTCAAAACAGATCGACTATAATAATGAAACAGCACACTGTAAAAGACTGTGGGCTGGATACCTGGGGGCAGCATGAAGCCTAACCTGTAGACTAAATTGAGTACTGACTGCCATTTTGTACCATGTATAGACATTAGCATATGAGATCATAAATGCTTAGAAAAGAGCACAAAACGGCTGCACTTGGGGTGTTTTTTTTAAAAAAAAATGTTGTGCAAAATAGAAATAAGTCATTAAAATAAGCCCCTCTAAACTAAAAGTAGCTCAAACTTAGCAAATATTCCAGTGATTTGAGCAACATTTTCAAAAGAAAACAGGTCCTCAAATCGCATTTTTAAGCTACATTTTCAGTTTAACCAGGATGAGGCTTCTACTGTGCCAAGTATACCAACCCCAAATATGTACAAATGTTGTTTGTCTTGGTTATTGCATGCAGTATTAGACAAAAGTATTCTTTAAAACGGTGACTCTGTTATTTTCATGACCAGGCACTCGTCACATGATGACCAAACAGATAAAAGGTTTCAGCTGGATTAAAGCTAAAGATGTTGGAAATCTAACTGCAGTGACTTCTAGTGCGACAAGTGCCCGGGGATACGTTCTAAACACTATCAAAATTCAGAACTTCAAGGTGTCTGTTTAAGGACTTAGAACTGAAGTTACCAATGTTAGCTTCAGTGTAGCTAGGCATCTAACAGCGTCAGCAGAAAGCAGAGCTCGCTCATGCATCATCATTAGTTTGAACAATCCTTCCTTAAGTTTACTGATTTCCAAAGTTGAGAGTTGGTGAAATTCTGTTCAAAACAAGCGACGAGCCACGTAGGCACAAAGGTTAACCTGCAAAGCTTCATCGGTTTCTCTCTCCTGTCAGTGAAGAACAGCAGTCGGGACAGTTCGCAAAGAGTTTGAAAGAGTCAAGAAAACAGAGAGTGGAGCTTTATTTGGTAGTCTTCTCGCCGCAGAGGGAAAGCTGTGCCACGTCTTCATCACAACGATTCCTCCGATGAGAGAAAGCAACTTTATCCAAGAACGTCTTTTAGTTTTCCAAAGCGTTTTTCAGTTTTCAGTCCCTTTGCCTCTGTGCCTGCTTACGCTGCAGACAATTTACCGAGACAGAGAGCCAATACGACGCCGCTAATGTTTACACCTTGGGAAGTGCACGTCATGTAATAGTCACTTATTTGACAAACAACACAGGAGGAGAGGGGTAAAGCAGCGGGCAGGGGGGTGTAGAAACAAGAGGGAGACGCGGGAAACGGTTCCCTTGATTTAAAGCAACAACAGGATTACAAGACATATAATGCAAATGCATTTTCATACCAAGAAATCTTGAAAAATTGGGCTCAAATTGTGCAATTTAGTGAAACAACATGTTGGGTGATTGTTCTATTATTTTCAGCCATATAAACATCAAACTATGAAACAAATATATTATTAAAAAAGTGATTAAACTGGTAACATTCCAGGTTAGTACAAATAAAAAAAAAAGGCAAAACACTGGTTCAGTTTGTAGTCATACAAAACAGATTTGGTCTTCCATTTCATGGAATTAAATGAGATTAAGGTGCCTAATCAGTATTTAGTCCACTATGAACACAAGTGGACAAAGTGCATTGATTTTTAAAGTTTACTTTAGGTGCTTCAGGTTTCTCTCTTCAGTGCAGAAAGGAGTCAGATTGTTATTTGAAATACTGCCTAACTGTTTTTGCTTTTATTTTTCTAAAGTACGAGTCAGAGCCATCGTGATTCACAGGCCTCATATCATTGATGTGGTGCTAACTCCAGTCTTGTTAAGGTGAGAACTTGCTTTTATTTGCACGATTTTAGGGAAACGTACAGGTCACAACTAGTAAAACACTGCAGCAAAGTTTTTGCGTCTGTGTTGTTATTTCAATGGAACCAGAGGTCCATCTCCCAGTGGCCCTTATTTAGTGCACAAATGGTGCCTTTGTAGCTCACTGCCCAGAAGACAACACATTCAACTTCACATAAACGCTCTCATTCTCATGATCTACACAAGCCCCTTTAAAAAGGTCAGAACAGATCACAGGAGGTGTTTTATCAAAAGGTGAAAGCAGTGCATATTAAACGCATTCTTTCCCATCCGACCTGTAGGTGTTATGTTAAAAATCTATAAGAGTAAAGAAACAATGAGCAAGTATAAAGGGAAGACTTGAATAGACATCCTGTGTTATTTAATGCCTGGCCTTGGCATTCATTCAGCATTAAGGTACTTTTTTTCTCATATCATTTCACACAGATCATCAAATTCATGTCAGCTCGAATAACCTGCTGATTCTCTTGATCTGCTCTTCACAGGTGCTAAAAAACAGGTAAAATGAAATCCCACAGTCATGTGCTGGTTTCACTGGATACACCGCTCAGCAGTGACATCTAGCTGCAATACATTTTCAAGCACCTTTTTAAGTACAACTGCTCAGAGGAGGGTGGGCATTCACAGAATTACAAATTGATATTTGAATTCAGGCCCTTGCTCACAACTTATCAAACACTCCTTCCAGAAGAAAAGCAGCATCAGTGTCTGAAAGGGGGCAGCTTAGTAGCTTCATTTAAGCAGGCAAGGAGTGCAAATTAGAAAGGAGCAAAATCTGTCGTTTAGACAGTTTGCTTCCTTTAAAAAAAAAAAAAAAAAAAAAGGGTCTAATGGATGTGTTTGGATTCAACATATTTTTGGATACCTATCTCACTGACAGTTGTCATCCTCAGCTCAGCTTGAAGATTGTATTTCACGCCATTCCTCTTTATAAACATTATGTAGGTGCTGCTTTATAAGCGTTATCAAAGTTTCATGTGCCTCTGTGTGGGGTCGGATTCTTGTTTTCACCTTAGTTACAGTGAGAGATTGATCTAAAGCTAATAGTCCGTGTCTTAGTGTCACATAGACGTGACTCGGAAACAGCTTGAAAAGCAAATGAATGTGGAGAACTACACATGCAAATCAGTGGATAAAAACACTTGGTCTAGCTAAGTGCCGTCCAGCGTCGATTCCTCCAAACAGTATTTCTTGTAACATTCAGTTAAGCTTCACCCTGCTTCCCCACAATTGCTAGTCTTCAGAAACGGACAAAGATTTCTTGACGCTGCGTGATGGCTCCCAAACCTCACTGTCGTCTGTGTCATCACCATCCTCCTCCTCGTCCTCCTCCTCATCTTCTTCATCTCCCTGCCCTGCGCCTGTCTGCTCGTCGGTGGCTATTGACTCTCCCTGCGTCTCCTCTCCTTCCTCCTGTGTTCCTTCGTCTCCATCAGTCCTCTGTGCGCTCGGTTCCAGGAAAGGATCTAACCCCCCGTCCAAGCGTCGCTGCACCTCGGCGAACCACTCCCTCACCTTTCGACAAACAGAGAAAGAGGAGGTCGTGACCTCAGAAGGTTATTTCTCAGCTTCGAGGTGGTTGAAAATACTTTCACTTTACTAGTGAGTGTTAATGACATGAAGACCAGTTAGGTCCATGCAACCCTTAGTACGTTTTCTGTAACAATCCTGATTATCTTTTAACTAGTGGCACAGAGACAACCCTAGCCTCAGGGGGTCACAAACTAGCATAGTGCTGGTCCAGGATAAATGGAAGGTTTGCCTCAAGAAAGGAATGTGGTGAAAAATCTGTGCCAAATACCAAATCTGTGTCAAATAAAGTGGACTCATTCATTGCGGTGAGTCATGGAGAAATAAGAGAGCAGGCAAAAGTACTTTAACTCATTATCTTTTGACTAAATATACATTATTGGGCCACATCTCTTAATCTTTGAATTCAGCTTTTTTCCAATGTCATTGCAGCAGATGTACAATATCAAGTAACTAGCATGACAAAGGGCCTTTATAAACATTTGTAAAAGAACAGGTTGTTCTGCAGAGATCACTGAATTTAAGCGTAGTGCTGTAATAGGATCTCGTCACTGAAAACATTTCCAGATATTTCTAGGTACAGTGTTTCACAATCAGTGGTAAGTGGTAATACAGCAAAGTGGAAGTGTTTAGGAACCACAGACACTCTGCCGTGAAGTGAAAGTTACAGAGCGCTCTGCTGACTCAGTAATTGCAGAGATCCAAACCTCCTTTGACATTAACATCAGCATCCCAGTGTCGACTGGGAGCTTCATTGCACTAAATTCAATAACTGAGCAGCTCCTTTAGATGTTCCATGTAGGTGGCCCAGTATTTTGTCTATACAGTATACAGCGGTCCCTCGCTATAACGCGGTTCAGCTTCCGCAGTCTCACTGTTTCGCAGATTTTTTTTGTGCAATTTTGCATGCTTTTTTTTAACAGAGCATTGTGTTCTGCGTCCTGATTGGCTGTAGATAGAGCTGGGCGATATAAGATTTTTTCATATCACAATATGCTTTTTTCATTTCAGGCGATAACGATATATATCACAATATAACCCAAATAACTATATTTGTAAGATTTAAATGTGCCGTTGCTCACAAGTAAAATGTGAAATAATCAGCAGCTTGTTTTGATTTAAATATTTATTTCCCATAATAAGTTCAACAGGGTAGATGTACTTAAAATGAGGCTTCAGTTTAGGCAAAATAAAGGCAAATATTACAAACTACACAAAAGGGAGCCGTTAAAGCGTTTAAGTTTCAAAATAGAACAAACAAAACAGACTGCTAAATTGTCAGTTCCACGTAGAAACAAAATATTAATTCTAAAAATAAATCTTAGTTTATTTTACAGAAGAAGAGACAAAATTGACTAACTTATTTAATAATGCTTTGGAAGCGCTGTCTGAGAAATGTTTATGTCCAAGGACTTGGTAACGAGGATCCATTACCTTAATTAGCTGCTTGAATCCTTTATTGTCGACCGTGTTTATTGGTAGCATGTCTTTAGCAAGACAGTAAGCTATGACATTCGTTATGTTGCTATGTCTCTTAGCTTTTTTGTCATATGGTAAGACGCTGGAGAAAGCCAACTCAATTGACTGTTGCTGCTTCTCAGGGATTCCCCCTGGTTGTTTTCGATGACGAATTAGCGCTTTCAGTCAGAGATTGAGCGTGCTCTAGTGGGTGGCACTGCTTCAGGTGATAAAAAAAAAAAGGTTTGTTGTATTTCCAGACTTTGTGGGAACATGCTTTCGGCACAATTTACAGTGGGCGTTACTCTGTTTTTTGTCAGACTTCAAATAGCTGAAATACCTCCACACTACGGAACTTCTCTGGCCTTTCCTTTTGACAATCTCTCCGGCATTGGAACCGTCATCTGTGTTCTCTTCGGTAACCTGGTCACCCAAGCTCTCGGTTGATTTTTCTCTAGTTGGCTCTCATTTCCTCCATTACCCGGCGGCTGGCTGCTTCCCAAACAAATACACACGTGCGGCTTGGCACTTGTGCGGCTTGGCACTTGTGCTCACAAGTCATGTGACGTGGTTCGGCTCTGCGCTACTTAATTTGGATTGGCTGTTCTTTTTTTTTTATAAGAGAGGAAGAGAGAGAGAGATGAGGTCTATTGCAACAGTTTCATTTTTCTATCGAGAAAAAGTTATTTCGCAATACATATCGTTATCGTTCTATCGCCCAGCTCCAGCTGTAGACCACTGTCAATCAATCTCCTCTGTGCCGTGTCTCCTGTACAGTACAGAATGCGTTCAGCTTGTCAAATTTACACAAATCTTCGATCGCTAGCAGTGTGACTCTGAAGTGCTGCACTGTATGTTTGTAAGTTTTCTCCCCAACAAACACAACAATGCCAATAAAACGTTTCGCACCGCAAAGGCAACCGCGGGTGCCTTTGGTTTCATCCTATAATACTGATAGTGTTTAAACAAGAGAGAAAAGTGTCTGAGAAATGTGTATAAAGTGTGTAGTGAGGGGTTTTACAGCCTTACAAAATCTATAATAACTGTAAAAAAGAAAGTTGGCTACTTCGCGAATTTCACTTAACGCGGGTTATTTTTAGAACGCAATAAACGAGGGACCACTGTATACCAAATCATCTCATAAGGGGTTTTTTTTTAGGTAAAAACAAAGTATTTAAAAACCAGAATGTCAATAATACAGAAGCTTATCAAGCTCATAATCCAACACAGTCCACAGGCTACTGTAATGAGTGAAGAACAGAAAGGAGTCTAAGGAGCTTGAAAAAGAAAAGCGTCTGGACTTTTTTAAGTTGCTTGAAGACGTTTCACCTCTCATCCGAGAAGCCGCTTTTCTTCCCAAGCTCCTTAGACTACGATGACCTGGATGACTGAGAACCTTCACAGACAAACAGAAAGGAGGTTACAAGTTTTCCTGTTACTATACTAACTAAATTGCACAAACTAAAGATAATTAAACTAAAACTAATTAAAATCTACAAGAATGCACACAAACAATCATATTCATGGTTATGGGCACTTTTCCCAAAAATTGCTACTCAACCTAGGGCAGGGGAGTCCAACTTCAGGCCTCTAAAGGCAGTCTCCTGCAGGTTTTAGATATCACCCTTGGTAAACACACCTAAATCAACTGACTAGTTCACTACCAAGCCTCCGGAGAACTTCAAGACATGTTGAAGAGGTAATTTAAATCAGCTGTGTTGGATCAAGGAAACATCTAAAACCTGCAGGACACCGGCCCTTGAGTCCTGGAGTTGGACACCCATCCCTAGGTGGTGTAGCGATTCTTGGGAAACGTGTCTATAAAACTATAAATACAACCCTGACACTGAGCAGAATTTAGGTGAAGACCTTTTAAGTGATCGCTGTGCAAGTTTCTCTAAAATCTGACCAATATTTATAATTCTTGTGAATTGCACTATGAAGGACGGATGGACAGATGCCTCACCATTGCATCCGTCCATTTGGCTGGATGAGCTAAAATAGGAAGAGATTTTAAAAAAGAAATATTGTTCAATTCTGCAGTTATTATTGTTATTATTATTATTTTACTTTCCTCACCTAAGAGGAAAGGTGATCCTAGGAGTTACTTGTTCTTACCTGTTCATAGCTCATGTTGGTCTTGGTGACAAGCTCGTCCAGATCTTGCTCATTCAGGAAGTGGTGCTTCAAGTAGTACTCCTTCAGGATCTCCTTCCCAGTCTTGAACTTCTTTGATGGGGTTGGCCGGTCGACATCCGAACTTAAAGAGGTGGACCTTCTTGGCTGCTTCCTGGTTCGGGATCGTCCCCACCCACGATTTCGTACACGTCTTTTCCGACTGCCGCTTCCCAGTTTACTCCCACCTCCGCTGTTTGGTCCTTCGATGTTGCCACTTTGGTATTGAAAGAACCACTTCAGGTTTCCGTTCTTCCAGGAATACCGAGAGTCTCCGAACCAGCTGACAATGTAGGAGCGAGGAAGGCCGCTTTCCTCTGCCAGCTGATCGTACTCCTCTGGTGTGGGCCACTGGGTCCTAACAAAGGCACTTTTCAGAATATGGAGCTGCTCCGGAGTCTTTTTACTCTTGTCCTTAATGTCCTTCTTGTTGCTGCTGGGCAAATGCTTGGTGCGATTCCCAGGAGGAGTTTGACTACCTTTTCGAGATGAGGAGGCAGGAGGTGAAGAAGAGGCCGTTGCTCCTGTTCCTCCCCCTTCTCCTGCTTTTGCTCCATCTGTTTCTATTTTTCCTCCTTCAGAGGAATCTGGAGACGAGGTGCTGACGGATGGCATTTTTCGTCTCTCGGTGAACCAGGCGTCAATTTCCCTCCGTGTCAGTTTAGTCTCCGTCCTCAGACGGCTCAGCTCTTCATCTGAAGGTGTGGTGTTCTTCTCAAAACTCTCCTCCAGCACCACAAGCTGCTCCGGCGTCTTCTCCTTAAACTTCTGCAGGGTAAAGTCTGGAAACGGGTTCCACGTTTTGGGACGGGTCTCCTTCTCCTTCACGGGAGGTGTACGTGGAGGATGGGGTGATGTCGGGGTCTCGTCGCTGGAGTCGATAACAATGGTGGTGTTAGCAGCGCTGCTACATGTGCCCCCGCTTCTACCACCTCCGTCGTGAAACACGATGACGTGGCTGTTCTTGGAGTTGCGCTGGTTGTACCTGGTGTCACTGAACCACTTTTTGATCTCCCCTTTCGTCAGGTTGGTAAGTTTCATCAATCGGGCAATTTCGGCATCTGTGACAAAGTGGTTCTTCAGGTAGCTGGCTTTCAGCTCCGCCAGCTGCTCTTTGGATTTCTTAGGTCGCATGCTGAATGTGTCAACACTGAGGGCTGAGTTCTCCTTAGAGACAGAAGGAAAAAGTTACATTTTATTTACATTTTGTTTCTCCAACACAGTTCTAGCTGAAAGAAACACCACAAGGTCATTTTTGTGTACTGATTATAAAGCCATTAAAGGTTCTTCTTGGTAGCACGAGCTGTAAGTGCTTTCCACACCTGTGGTGAAAGAGAGGGAGGCTGGATAGTGGTAGCCCGCTTCAGCTCACTGTTTGTCAGGGTGGGCTGGCAGGAAACTCTGCTGGAGCTCTGGGACTGGCTAGGCAACCCTGCCACTGTCAGGGTGATGGGACTGGTCACTGGAAGGTTGCCTCCTGGGCCAACCTACATAGCATCAGAAAAAAATAATAAAGGACAGAGATGTGATGTTTTGTTTAAAGGGAAAACGTGTTTATAAAACAAAAGTGTTTTTTTTAAGGGTTTAACCGCTGTAATGTTTTCATGTACTTGTGCTAGTGGCTTTTTTGGCAAGACTCCAATTTCCATCTCCTCTCATGTCTGGCTAAAGACCAAAATCAACAGAGGTCAGAACATCCAGCTCACTCAGAAAGAATTCAGTTCTCACACACCAAAGTGAGAGTAATAATTCACCTATTTGTTCTGCATTCATTTGGTATAAGAGGCTCGGTTCCAGAGATGCAAAGCAACGTCAACATTGGGTGTAAAAGCACGAAGTCTGTGTGTCCATCAGTACTGTTGTTTCTGAGTGGCTAATTTAGTATTACTGGAATTCAGAATGCAATCGCAGCCAGCTTTTATGGAATTGGTTTTTCAAACAGTTAAAGTGATGTGCTCATTTTCAAATCGTCACTGTGACATCAACAGGAAAGCTATTCATATGCGCACACCTTCTTAGATGGATTTGTAATTGATTACTCCTTTGCATTACATTACTACTCATTCAGACTAGTTCATTGTACCTGAGACAAGATGAAAAGCTGAGAAACCCAAGCCAGGTTAAGGCTGGGTCAAATGTAACACGTGTTTTTTCCTTACCTACCTGTGTGAACACGAGGCCAGGCTGGCCCACTATCTGGCAGGTCTGAAGGATGGACTGCAGGCCGTTAGCAGCAGCCGACAGCTGGTGAGCAGGTATGACAGTGATAGTCTGAGGCACAGTGTGCACCGTGCCATTAAACTGCTTCCTCCTGGCCTCTTCCACTTCTTCTGGAGTCCAGCTGACACCGTGCTTCAGCCTCTGAGCTGAGAACCACACCTGCGACACAGATCGAGCACATCTGACTCTAATATTTTGTTTTAAAGTATACTTTAAAACAGTCCGTTTGTAGATGAAAAATGGGAATTCCAATTGAGGAAGCTTTTCACTTGTAAAACAACAAGTAATACTACACTACAAAAACAATGATGGCCATAACACAAAAGTAATTATCAGTAATGAGCCTCTGAATTCCTTACTGGTGACTCACCAATATATCCGATTTTAGTCCTACTTACTTAAATGTGTGAAAAATATTCAAAGTAAGAACTAAGAAATCATGAAAGCTTTATGCGCAGAGGTACCTTGATCTGTTCCTCTGTGAACTGTGTTTGTGCTGCCAGGCTGCTGATCTCAGCCATGGAGGGGTAAGGGAACTTCTTATATGTGGTGCCCAGCAGAGGGTTGGTGTCCATAGCGGCACTGTAGGAGGGGATGCTGCTAAGTGGAATCAGCAGCTGGGGCTGAACTGCTGCTGTGTTTTGCTGGGCCTGGAAGGCAGAGAGCACCTGGAACAAAGACAGAGAGGGATGGAAATGAGAAATGTTATCCATGTAGAGCAGCTAAAGGAGAGATGGTGTCCAAGCTCTATTTGGCAGGCTTCTGACCAGCTGAAGTGTTCCTGAACGAGGCAATGAATATTTATCAGCTGAAGGGCTGCTATTATGCTGTTGATATTTAACATTACAGCAACCCTTTGTCCAAAAGCTTGCAGCAGGTTTTAGGTACAGACCGCTGCTGGGTCTCACCACATGCATTAATTGCTCACAGGCACTGGTAAAATCGGAATTCGTACAGCTGTAAAACACATGACATTATATAGTGTCTCTACCTGTGCCAGACCAGCAGGCAGGACTGTAGGATTTAAAATGGATGACTTCCTCTGCTGTTCAAACTGAGGGGTGATCAGCAAGCCGCCTCCCCCGAGCTTCATGGAGTCGTGCATGAGCATCTCCACAGGCGTCATCGGCCCCGGAGGAGCTTCAATGGGTTCCTGCTCCCCACCCAACTCTCCATCGCCACCTCCTCCAAAAGCCTCCGCTGCCTCGTCTGCCGATTTCAGGGACACAGCGATTCTCTTGGGTTCAGATTTGGTCTTCATCCTCATGATCGGGGTCTTGCTGAGAGAGATGGCAGCAACTGCAGCGGGGTCTGCTCCCCCCTCCTCAGGGGTGTCACACTGTTGCTCGTGGGTGGGCTGATCGCTGCTCAGATCCTCAGGAGGATTTGTAGTGCTGCTTTTCAGTGACGGACCGACAGCCTCTCTGTTGTCTACAGTAGATACACCAGGTTCATCTGTAGTATAAACAGTAACAATAATGCAGCATTCATTATTTACAGCACATCTGTGTATACTAAGTATATTACAGGTTTGTCAGGTGAGAATGAGACCAAGAAAGAGTCTTACCTGAATCTGGTGGAGCAGGAACAACAACTACAGCCTGCCCCAGCTCCTCTGCAGTCAGCCCCTCCTCCGTTCCCTCCTTCACCTTTCCCTCCTCCTCCTCCCCAGCGTCTTCCTCCTTCGTTTTCTCTGTTTTCTCCTCCACCTCCTCTTGCTCCTGCTCAACCACATCAGAGGGCACCACCATGCAAGGTGTGGTGGATTTCCGGCGGCTCGACATTGTCAAACCAAACTTTTTACTTCTCCGGCAAAACTAGATGCGTGGCAGAACTGCCGAGACTCACATATCGCAAGCAAACGTGCTCCCACTTTAAAGTCCTTGAATTCTGTATTTCTGTTGAAAAACACACACACAGACAAAACAATTATTCAAATAATCTGCCCACTGTTGCTTAAGCGTTCCTATTGTTGTTATCAAATCTTTCCTTTGCTGCCAAAGGTAAGAAACTGTGTGTGGGACAGGAGTTCAGTTTTCAGCTGTGTATTTGTTACTGAGTTGAGTGTTTTAAAGAGGCACGTAGGGAAGGGCATTACAAGTAAGCCCAAGCTATTTAACCTGAGTGAATGCAGGTTTAATTAATTACAAAGCGTAATTACGCTGAAGGCTTAAAACTCCAACTTATTCTTACAAAATGACTGGACGGGTTTTTATTTATTGTTTCTTTTATTCTTTGTGTTTGATTTTATTAACAAATGACTTCAGGCCCCCGGTTTGGACGGGCAATCCTTAGGAAAGCTGCAACACCACAGTCTGTAACATTCGCGCTATTTTAAGAACAGAAGCTTAATGATTGCCTAAATGTCATGCATTTAGGAGACATCTATGAACTGGAGCTACACATGCTGCACTAGCTTTGTACAATTACCACCTTCAGGATATGATTCATAAAACCCACATAAGACTTTCACTTCATCTTTAAGGCTTTTACCACTTAACTAGCAGTAAAGGGGTCAATGACGGTGGGGTTAACCTCTGATACTGTTACCAATTTCAGTTTAGAGCATTACTATGGAATCATGCTGACCGGCAGCAGTCACTATTTAAGATTAAACAATCACCCAAACAAATCATTGATTAACACAGTGAGTTCCACTCTATGCTGCAGATGAAGTCCCCATGAGGTGATTTCTTTTTTCATCTCGAATGAAGTTATTCATTATGTTCATTCATCAGTATACTGCAATATGTGTCTTTAATTACTTGATGTGTGATGTGACTTAATGATGATGTTATAATAGTGAGACAACTAGGCCAGTTAAGTTATATTTTTACATAGTGCACTGCACAGGCTACGAACTGCACAGTCCTTCAGATGATGATGTAACTGCATGAAATTGTGAGGCGTAACTAAAACTTGATCAGCTGAGTTCTCTGCCTCCTAAAGTCATCACAGACACTTGTGAATTTATACCAGAGACATTAAAAGGGAGATACTGCAACAGCAAACATGGTGCTACAAGCATAACTTCAAAGAGTGAGAAGATTGTTAAAAACAAAATCTCATTTTAAGGCAAATTCAGCTAAATTTTAAGCATTTTTTTTTTTATCAGATTTGATGAGTGATTTGATACATGTGGTATATTTGACCGTTGAAAACAAGCAGCATTCAGACAGTGTATGTCACATGTTATTAACAGGTTATTATTAGACTATTAATAACAGGTGTTACACATAATACATTGGGCACAGAAGGTAACAAGAAATAATCATACAGGACTTAAAAGGGGCCGCATCCTCATATACAGTCACGTGAAAAAATCTGAATAAGCAGAGACTGGATCCACTTTGAAACAGTTAAATCCAGCTGAAGAAGATATTCAAATAAATGACAGTAAATTTACATTTAGATAAACAAAGGAGATCCATAAAATTTGAGTCAGGTGTTTGAGATTAGGTGTCAGTGATAAGAACCTTCTTCGGAAGTGACAGTGAGTTCTGTTTTATTTAAACTTTGACATCTGTGATCTTGAAGTGTGTGGCGTCATCCTGTCAAGTTCTAAAGAGCCCTTTGAGGCCTTCAGAATACATCTTGTAGTTGTGGAGACTATAAGTTTGGCAAGGGCTTTTAAAAAGGCCGCTAAAATGACTTAAATTAGTCAGATCAGGATATATTAAAGCAATTATGGTAGGGGGATCATATCATAATCTATTTCATTATTTACATCTCGCTTTAAGGCACAGATTTCCTGCTCAAAAATAATATTTGAATTCACTTTGCATGTGTCTTTGCGAATTAAGAGTTCAACTTAAAAGCTTATGGATGCCAGGTTGTTGACTGTGACACAAGTGCTACAGCAAATAAGCAAACATTTTCCTCTAACACGCCTCTGCACACGCTTTGAGCCAACTTCTCCTGACTTGTTGCTGGTAAAGTCACCCTAACAGATTACACAGAGGTGTGGACGGCATGCTACGCTGCTCTGCCATCATGCGCTCATTTGCATCAACTGTTAGCAACTCAATAATGTGGAGGTGTGAGCTAGCTCATTCGTTATAATTATTAATGCCACGTTCAAGCTACGAATTATTAAACAAAATATGGTTAGTTCGACTCTAAAGCATCCGACACGTACAAAGAAATGGGCCAACTAGCCAGTGTTAGCCGGGCCAGTCATAATTATTGATCACGTCTGGCGGTAAACTTACTGGAACTACTGAAATGTGCACTGTGTTGCTACCAGGCTGTCGAGACAAGGCGAGGAGTGATTTCCTGGGTCTCAGCAGAGCAGCTCTCAGCTCCTCTCTGGTGGTATCTGTCGGCGTCTCTGCTTTCCCCCGGCTAACCGCTCAGACCCGAGCCTGGCCCGGGACCGCAGCAGCGTTAACGTTATCCGGGCAAACGGGTCTTCCCAAACCCAGCCGAGGGACGCAGACAGACAGACGGACCGGTCTAACGGCTACGGCTGTCGTTGGCAGATGCTGGAAAACACCGGACATCTCCCTCTCTCCCCGTCGGAGCAGGTTACTTCACGCCAAAGCGGGGGCTTCTTTGTCAAAGTTGAACCACCGAACGAACGCACGGGAGTTACATTCATACCGTGCTGTTTGCTGACCCAATTCTCTGATTTTTTTTTAACGGCAGATTTTTTTAATGATCAAACGGCGTCATCATTCAATGTAATACGTCCTGACGTCATTCCTCGGCGACTCTCTCTGTGCTCTTAAAATTTTTGGGGAGAAATTTTAGGCTAGAAAATGCCCAATTTAACAGCACTACAGTGGACTCGGTGTGAGCTTGTTTTGGCCGTGATATCCTTAGAGAGTAACTGCATGTCAAACAGCGTGTGCGGCGGGCCGTAAACTCATCATTTCCCCGATCCGGCTGCGTGCCAAAATGTCCTTACATGACCTGTCAGGGCACGATGAGAAGCTACTTAAGGACAACACTGACAATGCAGACTTTCCTTTCAACACACGCGATACTGTGTACAGTTGCTGTTCAGGCTTTTCTCGTGATTATTTTCACTTTTGAAAAAAAAAAGGGCTATTATGTAAAGAGCTTTTTAAGCTGCCGTAAAAAAACGTCTTTTATATATTTAAAATAAAACGAGGTTGTCGCCTCCTTTTGGCTATAAACAATAACAAGAATGCGTCAGAGTATAATGCAACAGTCATACATGAAGCGCGGTATAACTGGTTAAACACTTCAGGTTGTATTTACTTCGCTTTTTGTTATCCGTTAGTTATCACTGGCATTACGCAACCAAAATCAGTGTGTGGATCATTTTAAATGCACTTCATTGAATTAATGTGCCATAATAAAGTCACATGGTTGTTAGGAGACAAGTTATGAGCATCTGTGAAGGGATGAATGCCTAAAATGGGGTCACATTTTTAAAAATCCTGGATCCTCAATTTCCCATAATGCAATTATTTAATCTCTCCGGTCTACCTATTCTTAACAATGGTCGTTAAAAGTATTATCTATATATAAGATCAGATAAGTTTGTTTGTGTAGTCCCGCTGCAGTCGCTGATAACAACTTGTAAAACTTTCTAAACCTGATTGGCTTTCGAACAGTCAACCACAACTTGTAGTAGTGAAATACAGGAAGTGATAGTATTATGATGCTTTCTAATACAGTCTGCTGATACCCTGAAGTGCACAAATATAGCAGATTTCTGTGGACCTAGTCATTTTTAAATGATCAGCTTGGGGATAAAAAAAAAAAAGAAGGCACACAACAACAGTTAGAGGAAACCCATTTAATTAAATATAAACATGAGAAGTAGTACAAAGTATTAGCTAATGCAATATAGGTGCCTGTGGATTTCTATGAAAATAGAACCAATTTGTTTCTATTTACACATATGGAAGGATGGGAATAACTATTAAAAATGACATTGCTGTTCATGTGGACATGTCAACAGAAGTCTTCAATTTCTTGCTCCATCTCCTAATAAAACAAACACACAAGGGAAGAACTACAGATTAGGAACATTAAAATACTAAAGCAAAAGTAGACATCTTTGAAAATAAAATACAAAACAAAACTGATCAACAAAGTTCAATTGTGATAAAATACTCATAATCATACAGAGACCCATCATTAAAGTTATCAGTTACACCAACTCAGAATATCTCCAGGAGCAAAGTTTACCAACGCTCCTCCAGTAATCACCTGTATTAGTGCAGTTTTGTTGTAGTCTCGTCTGTGTCTATAGATGCTCTGGCAGAGCAGAGCATACAGTTTCTCCAGCTTATACACCTCATAGCATTCTGTTTTAGTTACCACCTGCTCCAACAGCACCTGAAAACACACAGGACAAAAAAAGGAATGGAATTACACATTTACAATATGTATGTATGTATGTGTATATATATATATATATATACACATATATATATATATATATATATATATATATATATATATATATATATATATATATAGGGAGAGAGAGAGAGAAATCTGCAGTTGAGCAGTTTAGTTCTCTTTTTTTCCTCGTTGTCAGCACACACTACACAGATGGTATCCCACACCTTTAATTTGTCTTTGTCCACAACTACAGGAGGGGTTTCCTCATCCAAGATCTGCAGAGCTTTGTCCACATTGATCATCTGCTGCTGCAGCACAGCGTTTTTCAGAGCCCGAGTCATTCGCCTCACGTTCCGCTCTGAGACACCAAACAAACATGCACACACAGGAAAACACACAAAATGTTTACACGATTGTAACAGACGATAGCCTGCTGGTATTTTCACTCTGAGGCCCAAGGACTGTGGTCTAGAAGCACTATACTAGTAATCTGCTTTCCCTGCTGGACATGACGTGTGCTTTTTTCCCCTTTCAGCAACATTTTCAACTAAACATCTGGTGTCACATTAAATGTGAGAAACCAGTCTTAGTGTGTTGACATCCAACCTGTGCCTGTGTCCTCCTCTCCTCTGGCAGCTGTGCAGGCATCTGTGGTTGAGGATTCTTCCACCTCCATTGGTTCAGCAGTGATGTTCTGCTCTGCCTCCTCTTCTGTAACTACCTTGATGTTTTCTTCCTGGCCTACACAGCGACTCGGCTCAGTCTGAGTTTTTGACAAGTTTAGAGTTTGAGCATCTACTGCGCGGGGATGCTGGTTATCTGCTTCAGCCTCAATGTAGCTGTGCTTGTTAGTGTTCACTGAAAGAGGTTTGTGGTTCTCTTCTGCTTCCTGTCCTAACAGCTTGTTTTCCTCTAAGTGATGTGCAACAGCATCGTCCACCTTCTCTTGTTCATTCTGCGTCTCGCTGTGATTTTCCAGTTTTGCTTTTTCACATGAGTTGACCTCATCTTCAGGATCTGCTTTCTTCTCCACTCTCCCCTCCTCACTGCTTTGCATTTTCTCAGAAAGTCCAAAACCATCTATGTGAGTTTCTGCAGGTTCTGACTCTGCATCAGCTATTGTATGATCCTCCTCTGCTCCATCGCCCTCATCACATTCTTCTCCTGCTTTCTCAACTTCATCCTCATCATCTCCATCCTCTTCCTCCTCATCAGACCCAAGCTGATCATCATTTTTGGACACGTGAGGAGAAATGGACTTCTTCTTTGCATAGTAGCCAGTGGACCATCGGCTCTTCCGACGTTTCTTCTTCTGGGCTGGGGGAAAAAAATGTTGTAATCCATAAACTGAGAGATTATTTGCAACTGATTTATGTGTATGATTATTTGCTACTAATTTAAGTGTATGATCTTTACCTGTATTTTTGGGCGTTGTAAAAGCAGAGGAACATGGATTATTAGTAGCTGGAATTGTGGATCCATCCAGCTGCTGTGAGCTGCTGTCGGTGATCTTAGCCTCAGCAGGAGATTTGGACTGTTTGGGAAGGACGTGGTAGAAGGAGGGAGTAAATCGTGCAGTGGAACAACCTGAGGTAGTCAAAAATAGAAATATGTACACTTTTACTTGTTTAAAACTGCAAATGAACTGCTCCTTAAGGAAACCTGAGACAAACAGAGTTTGTTATATCACATTAAAACTAAAAATTTCAGATTACTCAAGGTTTTTTATTTTATTTTTTATAGCCATTATTGATTGACCCCAGATTGTTTATTTTATAACTGAGCTAAACCAAACAGTCTTTTTAATTCCATTGGACCAGGACAAATGTCAATAATCATGCACACACACATAGAGACACAAACTGACCTCTTGCTCTGCGTGACTCCTTGGTCTCCTCACAAAGCTTCTCAAAATCTTCATCCAGTTCATCTTTGATGATAGCATGGACTGTGTCTTTCAGTGCACATGCTCTGTGCCGTATCTGACGATCTGAGAAAAAACAAACATTTACACTCCAATCAGCCTATGTGTGAGCACTTTGTATTTCACTGATTCTTCTCTTATCCATGGTGTATGTGCATGTGTGTGTCTGTTGTCCACTGTGTGTACCTGAGGGATCCCTGTCTGGGTTGTATTCGAGGGCATTCTGCCAGATGAGATCCACGTCCTGAAGGAACTCTTTGACTGTTCCGTACTGATGGAGGTCTATCCTGGAGAGGACTGTTGACAGGTCCATAGGCTTCTTGATCACTTCAGCATAATCTGGAACCTGAAACACAGGACAGATGCTGAGTGAAGGAAAGAGATGAAACCAAACATTTCAGAGGATCTCAGAGGACAAAATCGGTTGATATGAGCACGGCAGTAAATTGCACATTAAACTTGTCATTTGTGGGGATAGGTTTGCTGCCCCCCAGTGGCAGTATCTAAATACATACTTTAGCTAGGCAAATCTTTAACCTTCAGTCATTGCTCCCCTCCTGAAATATTCTCTACTGTAGTAATCCAGTGCTGTCTAAGGCATTGTTGGAGTACAAGGTAATAATAATAGCACTACTACCTCCTCTAAATCCACTGGCTTTGTAAAAGCCTTGAAGCGCTTATCTTGGGACAGACGGTTGGTGACATCACGTAAAAAGAGGCGAAGCTCTCTGAGGGTGTCTTCCTCCTGCTCCTCCAATCTCTGAGTCTCCTCTTGTGTTAGCTGACGTGGAGCTGGTGGAGGGGCGACTGGCAGCACTTCCAATGCATGAAGCACTGAGACAAGTGAAGAGTTGACAGATTTAATTCAATTATGTTTTGCAAGAGACAAAATGTATATCTTGGAAGCATCTGCTTTTAGCTTCCATCTAGGATAAGATGAACATTGCCGCACTGTGCGACCATATGAACAGATGTTGCACACTTAAACTACAAGACTGCTGCTTTGAGCCAATTTTAGTCATGAGCTGGGAGATATGTTAGTATGAATGTCTAGGCTTACCAGCTTTCTTTTTTGAGACAGGGGCCTTAGCAGCCTGGTTGAGGATTAGATCCTCAAAGAAGTCTCTTCTTTCCCTACTGGTGGGGACCTGAACTTGGAAAACCTCTCCGTACTCAAGCCGAAACAGCTCCTGTACCTGAGATGAAGAAGGTGAAAGGTGAGACTACCGCAGATGAATGCAGCTCTAAATTTTAGCGGGCCCTTTTGCATTCAGTAAAAACAGAGACACTGATTTATTACACCTTGTAAGAACATTTGACAAAGCAGATAATAACTGTTTATCCTCTGGCACATTTGCAACCCATGAAACAGAGCATTACTCATCTTTCCATACCTCAGTACTGAGTTGGTCATAACGGAGGCTGCAGGTAGCGAGCAGAAGGATAGGAGAGAAGGCCGGGATGGAGCTCAAGAGACTCAGGAAAGTAGCTCTTAAAGCAGGACCAACTGTTTCCCACCACTGGCCAATGTGAGGGATGTACAGGATACTGGGGGAGGTTCTCTTGGCTTCAACAAAAATCTGCAGAACATGTGACAAGAGCAGTAAATTCTAATGCAATTGCAACATCTGGACTGAAATCTACAGACGTGGGTATGGACGTGTAACAGCCGTCAGTTCCCTGCCCCTCCTTCATTGTGACTAATCTATTCTGTGTGTTTTCCTTATGCTAAACGCTCCGCTTAAGCCTCGCCCAGGACTGGAGCATTAGTTTCTTCTGTCGTCTTCTCTTTTCTGTTCTCATGACCCTGAATGGACCAGTACCCCAGTTCCTGCTTCAATGATGCTGCACCATCAACCATACCTCCTGCTTAAAAGTGCAGCAAACTAGGGTGGCTTATGATTGTGTGTGAGAAGCCTGCTGCCATGCATCACTGTAAAATAACAGCATCTTCTTTCATACACGCACTTGTCTGTAGTACATAATTATCCCCACTGCTCATGGTACAAGGAAGTGGAGCCCATGAACTACAGTTTTTCTGTGGCAGCCATTTTGGCCAGTCAGGTCCACTTAAAAGAACACACTGAATTTGACAAGGCTGCAGAGGCAAAGATTGCCTCCAGACCACCTCAAGTCAACATGTACCTCTACATTTTCTTTAAATGCAAATGATCCAAATGTAACCATAATATCACATATTTAATTTGGCTTTATAGCTCATGTACCTGAGCACATGTCTCTTCTGGTGCAGTTGCGCTGGCTCCAAACAGCATGGCCATGTCCAGTGTGTACACCGTGAACTTCTCCAGAGCGTGGAGCACAGCAGGAGCTAGGTGAGAGCTCTGGCCTGAACCTGGTCTGCCCTCCAGCAGCAACCGGGGACGGTAGGATGTGGGCTGGCTCAACACGCTCCTACACAGGACAGACAGAGATACTGAGATGGTGAAGTAATAGGAATGTTTCACTTCAGTAACATCTGGGTCTCAGGCATTCCAGATAGCTAACAGAGAGGCAATGTAGAGACACAAAGTGGTAGAAGTAGATGGCCATTTGATTTAAAATTGATTTCAAACAGTACTTGTCAAAAATACCACCTTATATTTGAGACTATGTGTCCTACCTGTGGAGGTTCAGGAGGCCGTTAGCGGCAGGTGTTTTGTGTTGGGAGGTCTGTCCAATGGGGCAGACCTCAGAGTCCTCTTCCTCACTGAACATCAGATCATCATCAGATACAGCAAAGGCCACATCTTGGATCACACAAACACAGCAGGTAAATAATTACACCCTGAATTAAAGAAAATGAAAAAAGCTCTTTGTGTGTCGCATCTTTTTATTGTTTCTCTCAGTCTTTGATTTCTTGAAAGAATTCCTATGATGAACATAACATGCGTGTAGCAACAAAGCAAGAATAACAAGGTAAAGCAGGACCGCACCTTGTTCCCTCTTTCTCTTTAAGCCCATCTCAGCATGCGGAAACACTCTGCTGACTGTGAGGAGGATGCTCTGCAGGGCTGCATTCAGCAGTGGACGAATGGCAGGTACCAGAGCCTTAGCTGGTGACACTACCGCTCTAAAATAAATAAATAAATTATCATAATCATTATCAAAAGTACTTAACAGTATGTATGCAGCAACCAGGCTGCATAAGGACTGTGAAGACAGCACCAAAACTTTACCTCTGGGCAGCAGGTACCATCTTGGACATGGCAGACATAAAATCTTTGTTAGTGATGGAAATGGAGTTAACGTCAAGTACAAGTTTCTGTGATGAGGAGTAGATCTGTGGGTAGCGGCGCCGCAGTGCGCACAGGGCTGCCTCTGAAACGACCGCCTTGATGTCCGCTCCACAGTAACCTTAACAACAGAAAGTTTATTAATAAGCAAACTTTAACCTGTATGGCCAGAAAACTTCATGTGATCGCTTCCTAAATGAATTCAGGATTGTTAGTGTCTCAGGTTTATTCCTTCCTTCTTCCTATCACATTTCAACTTACTTATACAGTATGGACAACTATAACTTAATGAAGCATGTATCTCTACGTGACATGTGCTCAACTTACCAACACATTTATCTGCCAGTTCCTCCAGAAAAGCCTCAGAGAGTGGAGGAGTCCACTGTCTGGTATGGATCTTTAGAATCTCCTTTCTTGCCTGCCATACAACATAAGATGCCAACAATTCATGTTCAGAACGAGCAATGCTGCTTTTTTTCTACTCATGCTAATGTGCAGCAGTATTGAAAACTACTAATATTTACAAAATACTACCAATATTTACTATATCGTATTGCTGAAACTACATTCCTCACCTCTCTGTCGGGAAGGCCAAACAGGAACTCTCTGTCAAAGCGTCCGGGTCTTCTCAGAGCTGGGTCGATGGAGTCCAGCCTGTTCGTAGCTCCAATCACAACCACTTCTCCTCTACTGTCCAATCCATCCATCAGAGCCAGGAGGGTCGACACAATGGAGCTACAGACACAAAGGGTTAGATTTCGTTTTCATTAACAGTCTTCTCTGTAACAAAAAGGACACACAGTGACACAACAAGCCCTAAATATTAAGGCTCACTCTATCAAGGTACCTAACTGAGACAGTGTAAACTGGAAAAAACAAACAAACAAAATAAAGACCGTTCTGCTTCATTTTTCTGGTGCGTTTTAGGGCTCTACATTTAGGAACTGAAAGAAGCTTCTGTAACAATTTCCTAATGTAAATTATACTTTATTCCTAATAAAATATACAAGCAAATGTTTATTTTACAGAGTTGTTAAATTTGAGATAAAGTCAAGACTGCAAACAAGCCTGACCTGTGAATCTGGTCCTGACGGCTGGACCTGACTGGAGCCAAACCATCAATCTCATCAAAGAAAATAATGGAGGGACGCATCTGATATGCCTGGAAAGAACCCAGTAAGAACCTATTAACACCTGATACATGTACAGGTATTAAATTTTTAATTTTCAACATAAAGGCAGATGAGTTCAGTTTACCTGGTCAAACAGGAGACGTAACTGTCTCTCAGATTCTCCAACCCACTTGCTGAGGCAGTCAGCTCCTTTCCTCATGAAGAACGAAACCTTTTTGTCGCCCTGACTGCACTCACTGGCTAAAGCTCTGGCTACAAGTGTTTTACCGGTGCCCGGGGGACCATAGAAGAGACAGCCCCTGAAAGACAAGAGAAAACCATAGCGATAGGGCTGTGCGATATGACCAAAATCTCATATCCCGATATAAGACATCTATCGTGCAAACATGTTTGTGTAATATCCTGTATATCTTCCATACATAGTGTAGTGTACTTTATGTAGCCTCATTATTTGGGAAAATAAATTGAAAAAAATCTTCAAACTACATTAAAAATAATGTGCAACCGTGACTTTTTGACACACAACTTTCTCCTGTTCACAAACACACTGCTTACCTGGGTGGCTGTATCTTGAACCTCTCAAACACCTCTGGGTAAAGCAGCGGGAACACCACCATCTCCTTTAGAGCTGAAATGTGTCTGCTCAAACCTCCGATGCTGTCAAACCGCACCTGATCGCATTCACAACAGAGTTACATTAGGATTACATGTTTAATGTGCTTTCGTGTAACATGTTTTTTCATTGCATCTGTTAATCGGGCCATTCTCTGACGCAGCTCACCGTCCTGTCAATCTGCATGGGGTCCACATCAGCGAGGCTAGCTCCGATCTTCATCCTGTCTTTGTGGATCCCCAGCAGGTCTTCTTTCACAAGGTTCATAGGTAGACATCTACAGGACACACAAACAAAAACTGTAAATAGCACCAGCATTTTATTATTATAAAACACAACAATCAGGAGTTCTGGTATTCTCACTAATGAGTCACAAGGCTAACCACAAGTTTTTCTTTAAAATCATTTGTACAACCTTTTATGTGTCTTATTTCACATTGCAAAAAAACCAGAAAACAAAACAACACCTTGATACACCTACTGCTCTCACCTATTGACTGACCGGCTCCTGTTCTTACTCCTCCGTCTCTGAAATTGCTCGTCGTCTGAGGAGGAGGACGTGGAGTCGCTGCTGTGGATGGCATGTCTCCTCCTGTGCACCAAAAGATGTGAACACAGCTTATTGTAAACAAACAAGGTTATCAGCATGGAGGCAGGTTACTCTCACCAACAATAAGATTAGGATTAGAAGCCATCTGTAGCCACATATAAACTGTGACAAACAAAAAAACAATACACCACCATTGGTCATCATTCATTAGTAGAAATCATATTGAGGAAAAAACAAAGCAAAATATCTGATTTGTACAAGTGTAGCAAAACAGGAGTGACTCATCCAACCACTTTAGATGACACCATCACCTGACGACACCTGAGCAACACACAGGGAGAGCTTCACTTGCAGAAAACTTAAAAGGCTTGTGAGGCCAAACCAATTGCACAACATTCAAACGTTTTTAAAGTGACAGAAGTTTCAGATTAGATGTGCAGAAATGAAAACAAGTGCACCCAAAAAAAGCTGTCAAATGTAATACAAAGTAATACAAAAATAAACTAAAATAGAAAGTTAGGGCATTTGCTCTGTAACGAGCAACAGGGGAACATAAAACTAATTAATGAATAATCAAGTTAAGTTTTTTCATTATCTACATTTTTCCACATGGTCAAGACTGATATTTAACTTATGATTATTCACTGACAAGCTCGGATTTTTTACAGCAGCCTAAAAGAAATGCTCTAAAGTGCATAACGTTTGAATGAAGATTGGTTCATCATCTCTTTACTCGCCACAGCAGAGTGAAACTCAAATGCACCAACAGCAATTACCAACAACCGCAGAGCTAACAAGGAGAGACTCTATTAAAGACAAACTACAAAAACTGTAAACACTGACAAAGAAGAGCAGTGAGGGTCTTACCTCTCAGAACTACTCCTGATGGTAGGACGGGGAAAAAAAGAGGAAGAAAAGAGGATGGATTTGACATGCAGTGATTATGCTAGCAACTAGTAGAAACAGTGTTATGGCAATAGCTGTCAAAGAATCTGTTTGAAATCAAACCTTTGCCAAACATTTTTGAGTATGTCTGAGATGAGGATCTAAACAGGTATGTGACTGTTTAAAAAAGTTCATAGATAACCTGAGAAAAGTGGACAATGCGCTAAAATAATCCTGTCTGATTTAGTAATAAACATCTGTCACGTGTACAAATTTAAGAAAAACAAAACATAACAACATGAGGTGTTACTCCTGCATATGCTGTATGTACAGGGTAATGTTCGGTAGCCGAGCTGTGACACTAACCTGCTGGTTCTCCTCCTGTTGTAGGGGCTCCTCGGGGCTGTGGAGCTGAATCTGAACCTGCGCCTGGTAGATGAGGAGTGGTCCTTGAAGTACATGCTGCGCTTCCTGGTCTCTCTCGGTTCTACAAAAGAAAAGAAAGCATCCTTCAACAGTGCAAAATGACAAGACAAAAGCAATTTAAGCAATTATTCTAGTTAATCATGATGATGATCCACAGCTCTGAATGGACAGCATACCATCTAGTGGGGCCTGATAGCGGACCACGGTCTTTCGCTGTCTTAAGTCATAGCGTCTTTGGTTTTCTTCTTCCTCATCTTCAGCATCCTCATCATCTTCTTCTTCCTCCTCGTCATCTTCTCCATCTTCCTCCTCCTCTTCATCATCATCATTATCATCCTCATCCCCTCCTGTGAATTCAATGAAAATGTAAAACAAAAATGAAACACCACATGACACTGCTGCTGTCCAAACTTCACTATATGTTGAGATTGATGTTGAGATTAATCCTCCCCTGAAGAAGATAAACTCAGACCAGCATGCCTTCAACTAGAAACGTTCCTGGTGACTAATAAACGTGAAAAAAAAATTAACTAACCGACTAGCCTAAAACTAACAAGCCCCTAGATATCAAGTTTTATTTGAGGAGCCTTTAATGGAAAATCTCAAAGCTGCCTAAACAAAAAAACAAGAAGGCAGTTTGTATCCGCAAAATAGCCAACAATAATAGCCCTAACAAAAATTTCAGGTCTTGATTAACAGAGTGATGGCATTTTTTTTTAAAACAGTGACTCCAGCTCCATCTGGTGGCAAATGGCTGCATAATATTCAGGACACAAACCCTGCATTGGGTATCAATTCAAATGTTTATAATTAGATTAAACAACTGGTACGTCTGGTACTGAACAGTGACAGTAGCAAGTTGTGCACATTCCCACTGCACACAGTATTCCTAAACTGTGTTCCTAACATTACTGGCTTTAACCATCTCACCTTGGTTCTCTTTCTCAGTTTCTTTAGTCTTCACATTGTTCCTCAGAGACCTTCTCATTCTGCCACTTGTGTACACACTCAGCTGCTCAGAGGAAACAGAAACAAACACTCATCAGTTCAACAGCTCGAAGATGGCTTCACACCGTCAGCTACTAGCTACCCACTCTCTATAAAAACACTACATTACAGAGCACCATGCAGAACTGTGAAGTTTCCTGTGTGGATTATCACCTCTTCCTTAGCGTCTCTATCCCGGTCTCGGTTCCCCAGCCTGCGTCTCATCTTCTGCATGTCGTCCATCTTCTGGAGAACAGCTTCAGCAGTGCTGAGGGACAAAGGAAGAATGGGACATTCATGTCTTATCTAATCCCTCATCAGCCCGCAGTGTATGGAACCGTGTTTGTTAAATACTACTAGAGATGACAGTTTTGCTGAGTGAATTCTGCTGAACTCACTTAGTAATTAGGCGGTCATACAGCACAGACTGGTTGCGGGAACCCAGTTTGTATCTGGTGATTCGAGAGCTGCGACGCACTGAGCGATGATCCTCGTCTTCCTCCTCTTCTTCCTCCACTTCTGGGCTTCGTAGGTTAAAGCGGCTCCTCTTGGGAGTGGATGAGCCTTCCACTTCATCCGGAACATCTGGGATGCAAAACATAAGCTCTCCCAAGTTAGATGTATAGAGACTAATATAGAAATATTAGTTACTCTACACTGCTTTAATTTAAAAGCATGGATTCTACAATACATGGTACCTGCTTGCTGCTTGCCATTCGATGCCTTTCCATCTCTCTGCAGCCTGGAAGATTTCCTGACAAATGATGACAAAATAATAATTTTCTTGTGTTATATTGCTGCATTTCATATACATTAAGCACTGATGGAAATCCACTGAGAACTAGATTTTGCATACAGCTGGTGAACTTGGATGGCAAAAATATTACAGTTTAAATTGGGCATTGATTCAGCTAGCTTACGAAAATATAAAAATCTCATTTTTATACCCATCAGTCATTTTAGTGAATGGCAGGTATTACACATTTAACACACAACCTTCAAATCTGCAAGTAGAGGCACCAGAGAGCTTGTTAAACAACACGACTAAAAAAATAATCAGTTAACAATGTGAGTGGTGTTGGATTACCTGGTACAGCAGCCTCCAACTTTGTCCTCATCAGCAGGGGAGCTGTTCTTGGGTCGCGAGTCCGTAAATGAGACCTCAAATTTAACCTTTTGCCCTCTGGTCCTCAGAGAGTGGTGGAGACCACTGTCCTCCCCCTGTTTCATATCAGCATGTGAGTGACACACAGTGCTGTTATAGTTTACAGAATATGTAGTCGGGAGTTAAAAGCTGCCTGTCCAATGAGTTAGGAAGTCAATCTCATGCTCAGATTAAGTGCAGTTAATGATTAACATTAGAGTGAAAAACTGATGTGCAGAGAGTGCACATCTACTAATCAGTTATCACCTGTGTACTGAAAGGACCTATTTATATATCATTAATTTACATAATTTATCTAGTTCACTTAAATTCCTTCACATGTAGTATCTTATATTTGAGATCACTCTTTAAAACGTGCTCACACACACACAAACACTAACATGTCTAACTCCAACTATGTTATGAGCTATAGGTAATTAATTAATTCAAAGCAAATATAGCAAACCGAAGCTCTGACATGAATGCAAAGAGGACTGCTGGGTGGAAGTGATGGTCATATGACTGAACAGCTATAAACTTGCTTTCCTGTGCATTAAACACGATAGTATCTTGGTTTGCTCTAGTAACTAAACCACTATTTGCTCCTCTAGTGCTGCGGCTGACCTCGGTTCCTGCAACTATTTATTTTCCATCAAGCAGATTTAAAAAGTACTTTTGTTATAAAGTAACAGACGGGTCTAAGATAAAGGTCAATGAAGAATTACTGAATGGACAGAAGCCTTATAATCTTTCTACTAACAATACAAACACGCACACGTAACTAACAGTGAGTTTAATTATGTGATATCATACGATGTTGTTATATGATTATGATGCTTAACGGCAAATCAATAAGATGATTTAGTTAAGAAGTCATTTAGACTGCGATAATAAATGATTGTCACGCATGAATAAAAAATAATGTGACTATGCTTTTAACTCTTTCGATACATCATGATAGGTAACAAAGCGTCATAACTTAGTAATGCAGAGGAGAGGATAGTTTTTAGCCAACTTAGCATGGTAGCTAAACTAGCACAGCAAAGTTGCATTCATAGCAGACTTATCCAACCAACAAACGGTTACTACTTATCTGACCAGCTGTTTCAGTGTGTGTTCTCACATTCGCAGTGTTGTTTTCAGGGCTGCTAAAGCTGTCGTACGGGGCCCGGGAAGATCGGCTGAGCCGGGCGGACTTTCTCTGCGACGCGGGAAGCAGTGAGAGAAACTCGGAGCTCGTATCCAACTCAATCGTCCTCGTCGGTGTTGTCGCTACCGGCTCGGCTCCGACACTGCCGCTGCTGCGTAGTACCACCATCTTGGCTCTTAAACAACCTTATAATGACATGAACGACGAGCAATAAACTGTCAATCTACATTAAAATGACTGGCGGTTACGGAACCGCCGACACATTACATAAAACGGTATATCCACCAGCTGACGCACACTAGCTCCTTACTAAAGCCTTGATTTCTGGCGCCATAAACGTCATCAGGGGTTATGAGGTAAGCGGCAACGGCCTGCCGCTCGCAAAAATAGACCTCCTAGCTAAATGCAAAGCGGAGTAATAAGATGAACTTTACACGGGTAGTGAAATTAACTGTTAAAGTAGATTTATTTTCATCATGTCGATATTACGGCGGGTTTGAATGGTCGCTGTAGCCACTCTTGGAACAGTCGCAGTATTCGTAAAAACATTAGGAAGCGGAGGGACACACTACAATTTGAAAAAAAGGTGTTCCGGCTCATGTTAGAGCGCGCTCTGCTGTGAAGTACGCGCTCATTTAAGTCCGCAGATATTCAAACGGCTCATTCGCAGTTTGAACATAAAAACACCGCGATAAGGCTGCCATTTCACAACAAAAGCACATACATTAAACACACGGAGTCATCACAAACTCACCGGCTTTTATTTGAATAAGTGACAGATATCAGAAGAGAGAAAAAAAATACAAACTTTGGAACTGTTTGTAGGCTAAAAAGAAAAAAAGAGTACATCATGTAAAACTGCTGTACAGGCAATCAGATCCTGACAGTAAAATCTCAGAATCTCCCATTAGATCCTCCCTATGTGCTTCTTTTGTTTATCCTCTTTCCTAGTGGGTTTCAGAGTGGATGAGGAAGAATTAATCAGGGATGCAAATTAAGGCTTCTCCTGGGCTCAAGAAGTCTCACTTACATTTAAAACCCAAGCCATGTCTAGCAATACCACTTTTGAATAAATCCATGCTCGATCTTAAGTGCCTTTCAAACATTAATGAGCAACAAAAACAGATTTGATGGAAGACTTGAGATTTTACTCATCAGAGTCCACATTCCTTTTCATTTGCACAGTAGCCAACTGTCACATTTCACAGCACCAGGGTGTGTTCAACAACAATACCAACTGGTTAAAGATCTGTTATTTGCCACTGGCAGATTTTAGTCAATGCACAACGGCTGCCTCATTACTTTAATGGGTCTGGTCAGCCGGCCTGTTGTGATGGTCAACAGGCCATTTAATTCTGTCATACAAGATAAGAATGCATAATAATAACAACTATGAATATGAAGAAGTTACAGCAGTTTTTTTTCTCCGGTGTTTGGAGAACAGAAGCTGTCTCATCATAAGACAATGGGGCCATATTATCTTTATAATGGGTTTACAAAAATACAAAAAAAAGCATCATGAGACAATTGGCTACTGTGCTGGCTTTTGTCTTGAATGTGACCGAGGGGGATGTGTTCAAGCAATGGCTGCCAGGTAGTCTTTCACCTCTGCTGGGGTGAGTCTTTTGAAGCCAGCCTCGTTGCAGATGCCCACCTCAATGTTCTCCTCTGTCATCTGACCCTCAAAACTCTCCTGAAACACAAAGACAAGATGGTTTGAATAACCACCACTAAGGTGGAGTCACTAAGCCGTTTCTGGTTACAAGCTGCATACCTTTAATGTCAGGATGGCTGTGTGGATGGCGTCTTCTAATTCCAAGTCATTGTTATACCTGAGGAAGAAAAACAAAGTGGTCAAACCCTTGAACTATTGAAACAATAGACCCCTTTCACAGCAGCTCCTTTTTGCATTAAATGGTGCTGTGTGTTAATGGTTCTCTATTCAAGTACAGAGCCTTTAAAATGCATTTACCCAGTCTTCATTTTCAAAATAGACAATTTAAAGTAGGTCAACAGTCTAAATTCAAACTGTGTGAAGAGCTTATTGGTTACCACTCATTCAAACTGCTTTATAATAAACCACAAATGAGATATAGCACTCTAAAACACAGTTTACACATGATCATTGAGACAGCTACAGTAAATACACAGAGCTCTTACTGTGGGAGTTTGGCCACCGAGCACCAAATACATCCAGTACAAAATATCAAGCTCAGTCCATGGAACAGAAAATCACTGAATTTTAATTAAACGTGACTTTATAAATGGGACCTATAATTCTAATTTCCAACAATATATTTTATTGTGCGGCATCCCTTAAGTTGATGTGAAAGGCAACTTACTTATCTTATGGAGCCCTTCAGATTTCATATAAATGATGCATCTATCCCACTGGTTAGTGGACTTCCAGCACTTCTTATTTATGTTCTTGAGTTTGGACTTTATGCATTGCCATCTACTATACTCTGAATATGTATCATTCTTTCATTAAAAATGAGGCTCAAACTGTGTTACTAAGGCCATAAACTACTTAAGATTTTTTTTAACAAGATAATTCAAGTGAGTTGTATGGCCATCCTCTCAGACTTCTAATTTAACAGAGGTCGCCCTCTGCAGGTTTAAGTCACTTTGGCACTGAATTCACTTTTCAGAACCATCTTTCAACTCAAAAACAACCTGTTTTAGCCAAACCGCACCTTTGTAAAGGCTTATTTTTTTCTAACAGGCCAATATCTGGAAGCCTGCAGAGCGTCAGTGCTTTTGAGCACTAATGTACATAAGCGCATAAGTACTAAAGTTGGCCTTAAGCAAACAATCATACAGAAAAACTGTGACAGAATCAGACGTAATATATATTCCTTATAAGTTTTACATAAACATGCAACAATTTAGTAATATGAATGAAAACAGGGAAATAATGAGTTACTCATTTACGTGTACCTTTTTTCAAGGAATGTTTTTCCATTAACATAGTTCTTCCCCATGGCTGTGGCTTTCCATGCGAAATATGCACCCTGCCAATCACAAACAGAATAAAAAAAAACTTTAGGTTAGCAGGATGACCTGCAAAAGCATTTTTAAAAGCACAAGCAATATTTAATCCTGAGCTGTAGGCAGCAGTGCTGAGAACTAGAAGAACGTACAGAAGGGTCCGACTGGAACAAGTAGGGCTGGTCTTCATCCCATCCAGCTATCAGCAGAGACACACCGAATGGACGCACTCCACTAGGGATGGAGGGGTGGAAAAAAGAGAAATATTACACGTCACTAATTAATTTCTCTCTAAAGACCTCGAAACTGTCAAGCAAAATCAGTAACACATTAACACGTCTTTTAAAGTGGACTGAATTTTGAGAAAATATCACAGCAATGCAAAACAAATTCTACCCCTAAAGCATGTCACTAGTAAACAGCAGTGTGTCTACCTTTGTGTGTGTGTGTGTGTGTGTGTGTATGTATGTTTGTTTGTTTTGTTAAGTATATACCCACCCAGACTGTGTGTACTCCTGCATCACAGAGGCCACCCTCTGGACAAGCTGGCCTGTAGGAATGGGCTCCTGGTAAACCAGGAAGTACTGTTGTGCCAACTTGCGGGCTCGCCGCACTAAAACCCTGCCAACATGACACACTCATTATTTTTCTGCAATTAGCTTTCAGTTGTCATTTCAGTTGCCTAACAAAATGTCACACTATAGTCTGCAAAGCCGTTGGCAACACTCACCGGTAGTCAGGCCCCATGCCGCTGTAGACCATTCCTATGTGTTTAGTGATGGGCTCCACTTTATGGACGCTCTGTTCATCATACAGTATGGACTTCTGTTTTTTCTCTGTTGCCAAGACAACGCCATTGGAAGCTGGAAATCAAGAGTCACGCAGTTATTGAAGAATATGCGTTTCTAACCAGTTTCAACTCTGCTTGAATGTGCAGAGCTTTCAAGTATGCTTTGCGTCGCTAACATGTTGACAGATTCACTCTCAAAGCTACAGTCGAGTTCTGGACTCACCTTTGATGCCCACCGAGGGGGCTCCGGCTGCTACAGCTGCCAGAGCATACTCGATCTGTACCAGCTTACCGGAGGGGCTGCAAGAGAAAAAAAAACACAACAAGCTGCTTCACTATGTGTTAAAGTCAGATAAACGATTGGAAATCCGAATTAGCGTATTGTAACTAACAGAGACGAAACTGAAAGTAAAATCTAAAACAACTGACTCATTTAAGCTAATTCGACGCTTTGCCAAAATAATCTAAATATTTAGCATTCAAAACCAAGCCGTCCATTTCAGTCTGCTCGGGTACTGTTCCGCATTAAAACAGGTGAGCTTTTGTTATGGGTTTGAACAAAGTTTATCTTTTCGAATGTTCAGTTTGGAAAAACTGTTAGCCAACATGCTAATAGGCGATGTTAGCCGATTCATTATCCGGCAATGACAGTGCATCAACTCCAGCGGCTCCAAAACCTCATCTACGTTTTGAAATAAAAAGTAATGCATACATGTGATGACGCTACTGCCACAAAGCAATTGCTACATGCCATAAGCTTCGATGCGGCTACTCAATTTTATCCATATTTTGACAAAGTTTACCTAAATGTGGTGAGAGAGAAACTGTAACCACGTTCCGCCATCTTGAGCTTCTTCTTCTTCTCTGCTGCTCTGGAGAGCTCCAAGTGCGATCACGAGTGAACATCGCCACCTGTGAAGATTGTGTGCTCGATCAATATTATTTTATGACTCCGTTTTTTATCATTTTTACTTTGCATTTCATTAAACTTGGGAGTTTAGTCCTTTCCACTGTATTGAAAAAATATTTTTCTTAAGTATATACAGTGGAGCAAAAAAGTATTTAGTCAGCCACCGATTGTGCAAGTTCCCCCACCTAAAATGATGACAGAGGTCAGTAATTTGCACCAGAGGTACACTTCAACTGTGAGAGACAGAATGTGAAAAAAAAATCCATGAATCCACATGGTAGGATTTGTAAAGAATTTATTCGTAAATCAGGGTGGAAAATAAGTATTTGGTCACCTCAAACATGGAAAATCTCTGGCTCTCACAGACCTGTAACGTCTTCTGTAAGAAGCTTTTCTGTCCCCCACTCGTTACCTGTATGAATGGCACCTGTTTGAACTCATCATCTGTATAAAAGACACCTGTCCACAGCCTCAAACAGTCAGACTCCAAACTCTGCCATGGCCAAGACCAAAGAGCTTTCGAAGGACACCAGGAAAAGTATTGTAGACCTGCACCAGACTGGGAAGAGTGAATCTACAATAGGCAAGCAGCTTGGTGTGAAAAAAATCAACTGTGGGAGCAATCATCAGAAAATGGAAGACATACAAGACCACTGATAATCTC